CTGAGTTCACACCTGGTGACCTGAGTTCACACCTGGTGAGCTGAGTTCACACCTGGTGACCATCACCTCAGAGATTAGATGGCTGCTTTTTATTTACAGTCTATGTTACAGTTTAAACCTTTAAATCAAGTTTGGGACGGTTGTGAACTGTGATGTTGAGTAAACAGATGTTGATGTAATGTTGATGTTGTAGGTCCAGATGTTCTCACTCTGACCATCGGGTCAGACATCGCTCGTGCTCCTAACACCCCCCGGCCGGGGTGTCGGGGTTACCTTCACAAACGCACCCAGTCTGGTCTGATTAAAGGCTGGAGGAAGAGGTGGTTTGTTCTCTCACACGACTCCTGTCTGTGCTACTACCGTCACAAACGGGTGAGCGGCGAGCAGGCGTCACAGTCAGGTTCTCTGCTTCCTGTAGAAAACACCTTGTGATGTAACTTCCTGTTGTCCACAGGATGAAGGAAAGAGACAAGCTCTGTCCGCGGTGAAGCTCGAGGGAGCCGAGGTCGGACAAGACGTTTCTCTGGGAAAACCTTTTGTGTTCAAATGTCGCCCCCTGTCTGTGAATCGAGTTTTCTTCTTCTGTGCTACGTCCAACCAGGAGATGAAAAGGTAAAACTCACGGACGCTCGAAACCACAATTTCTTTCCCTCGTAGAGTCGCTGAGATCAACAGACGGTAAAACAGCAGCTTCACAAAGAGCTGAGCAGAAATGTTCAACATCTGTAATCATCTGTAAATACTGATAAACTGATCTCAGTCAAGAGTCTGGAGGTTCATTCTACAGAATGTGAGAACTTGTAGTTTGAAACGTGATTTTGTTCTTGAATTATCTGACGAGTGCACGTCGTGTTAAATCTGTGTCTTTATGGTTTCAGGTGGCTGGAAGCGATGGAGCGAGCGATTCATCCTATTGCACAGGTAACTTCTTAACATGACGTGATACTCATCAAGTGTAATGTGTGAACCCCCGACACAGGGTGCAGCAGCGAGCAGGTCGAATATGTAGATGAATCAGAGACAACAGCCAATCAGAGCGTAGGATGAAGGAGTGAAGACGCTGACACCCGGAGAGACGCTAGTCGTATGTTTGTTGTGGTGAAACATTGTGTTGTGTTGGACCCAGATGATTTCAAACACTTTGAGAAACATTTATTCTACTTTCAGTTCTTTTGTTTAATCCAAGTCCCATCCGCTCACATGGAGGAGGCAGGTTTTCTGAGCTGTCATGTGGTCCATGTGTTCTCACACTTTGTTTGTCTCACATTGTAGAACCACGTGTGGGTGGACGTCACCAGACACAACTCAAGTCTGCCCCCGCTGGCCATGAAGAGCCCAGAGTGTCTTGGTTTGCTCCACAAAATGGACAGAGACACGTGGGCTCAACATTACTGCATCCTGAAGGACGGATGTCTTTACTTGTACAGCGGCATCCGAGCTACTCATGCACACGGTACAGAGACATGTCTCACACTGTCGTGACTCTGATGAAGAGCAGTTTGTCCTCAGTGATGAATCTGGTGAATGTTGGTTGCATTTAATCGATCAGTGCACACGTCCTCTGTCCTCAGGTGGCATCTACCTGCAGGGCTACACTGTTCGAGAGCAGCCGTACGGATCCAAGAAGTCCACCATAGAGCTGAAACCTCCGTCTGACGAGTTCAAGACGTTTTACCTCAGTGCCGAAAACCCCAACGAGAACAAACGGTGAGATGACGCAACTTTTACTAGAGGCTGCAGGAGAAGCTCCAGAAAATGTCCAGAGACACTGACTCAGACTTTTGTTCTCACATGAGAACCTCCAAACATATCAGGAACACGTCAGGCACACGTCAGGCACACGTCAGGAACATATCAGGAACATATCAGGAACGTGTCAGGCACACGTCAGGAACACGTCAGGAACACACCAGGAACACGTC